AGCAGTTAGGTGAGAGCGGGGTAGGCTTCTCTAAAGAGATGGGTTTTCAGGGTGCAGGTCAAGGTGAGGAGGGTAGGTGACAGTCTGATGGATTGGGGTAGTGAGTTCCAGAGGATGGGTGAAGCCCTGGAGAAGTCCTGGAGACAGGAATGGGAGTAGGAGATCAGGGAGCTGGAGAGTAGGAGGTCTTGTGAGGAGCAGAGAGTGCGTTTTGGGTGGTAGATGGATATCAGGTCAGTGATGTAGTTTGGGGCAGTATGAACAGCTTTGTATGTCAATGTTAGTAGTTTGAATTTTATGCGTTGGGCAATCGGAAGCCAGTGGAGGGATTGGCAGAGGGGGGTGGCGGATACGGAGCGGTTGGTAAGGTGGATGAGTCTGGCCGCAGAATTCAGGATAGACTGAAGCGGGGATAGCCTGTGTTGGGGTAGGCCAGCGAGGAGGGAGTTACAGTAGTCAAGTCATGATATGATAAGTAAGTGAACGAGTTGCTTTGTAGTTTCTGGAGTTAGGAACGTGCGTATTTTGGAGATGTTGCAGAGGTGGAGTCTGCATGAATTTGTCAGCGATTGGATCTGGGGCTGGAAAGACAGATTGGAGTCTAGAATGACACCTAGTACTCTGGGTTGCAGGGTGGGGCTGATGGTGGCATTGTTGGTCGTGAGGAGAGGTCGGGGGGGGGCGGGCTGGGGGGGAGAACTAGGAGCTCGGTTTTGGCAAGGTTTAATTTGAGGAAGTGGAGTGACATCCAGTCTGATATGTCGTTCAGAAGGCTAGTGATTCGGGCGGAGACTGAAGGGGTGAGGCGCGGGGTAGAGAGATAGATTTGAGTGTCATCGGCATAGAGATGGTTGTTGAAGCCATGGGAGTGTATATATCTACAATTCATGATACAATAGTGTGATGGTCAGAGGGAAGAATGCTCCTTACACTTGTGGTCATTGGGAGGAATTACCCCCTTACAGATTGCTAAAAAAAAAAACAATGGTGTCAGTGGGAACTTATCTGAGGGGCAAAAATTGCTCATTGCTCCAGGAACCCCTAGCAACCTCTGGAGGAACCCTAGGGTTGCACGGAACCCTGGTTGAGAAACCCTGCACTAAAGTCTTAGTTTTTTTTCTATTACTTTCTATGGCAACAGAATATTGGCAGCCCGCCATCTCTGTGATGTAAACACACACAAGATGTTCCTATGATGTTAACGGTACTGAAACTCTATTTCTTTGTTGTGATCTTTGACAATACATGACTTCATACTTCATAGCAGAAGCAACTATAGAGGTGAAAGATGGCTCAATGTAAAGCTTATTTACTGCTTGTTAAAGATGAATTCCAAGCAAGGCATATTTTTACATAGTTACTTTGGTCCAGCTTGTGTATACCATACCTGGCCGATGCCCCGGGAAGCTGAATATCACTGAAGTAGACACTGCTACTTCAGTGATCTTCACTTGCTTCGGGATTGTGTGCCGAGCAGCCAGCCTGATGCAGGTCAACTGCTCAGCACGGGTGCCATTCAGAGAATGCTTTGGCAGGAAGATGATGTCATGTTCTCCACCTTTTCCAATCAGAAAATGTTTTGCATTCATTCAGAAAATGCATAGTATTCCCTGAATAGCACCCGTGCCGAGCGGCCAACCCTTTGTATTCACAATGCATCAGGTCAGCCACTCAGCATGGGACCCAGAAGCAAGTGGAGATCACTGAAGTAACGATGTCAACTTCAGTGATTTCCAGCTTCGGCCAGGTATGGTATATACATACTTATACTGGTCCAAGCTGGATCAATGTAAATATCTAAAAATACACCATACCTGGAATTCTTCTGGCTGTTACAGTGGTCACATGATCGGAAAGCTCCTGATCGCAAGTAGAGATCAGGAACTTTTTGTTAGCCGTCAGTAACTTTGCCAGTCACGTGCATGGTGCACACATTTAGCACAGTTCCATTTTTATTTGGGTATATGCGGCCTCTTGGCATTAAGGCCCACCGAGAGGTCGCATATATGCGTGCGGATGGTGGAAAGGAGTTAGAAAATTCATACTCGAACCCCGTGATCCTCAAAATTACACACTGATCCTCAAAATTACTGTTTTTGGTAACATCCATCTCTATCTATGACAGTGTCTACTTACATGGCATGTCCCCTTTGAGCAAGGCAGCTTCAAGAGCTCTGTTAACATGGCAGTGACACAGGCAGGTATGGTAATGGACACAGTGGGTTCAACAAAGGGCTATGAGGGAGTGTTGGGTGCAGGCATTTACATACTAATCCATGCAAGTCAACTTACACTCAGCTCTGACTAAACCAATAATCAACTATCTTGTTTAATTAATACGTAAGTGTAATACATTATTATCAGTAATTAATAAATAGGATGGTCTATTTATTAATCTGTATGAGTTATATTATTTTATCTGAATTTGTGAAATGAAAAATTCCACATGTGATAAAATAACATATTTGGTTTACTGTACGTGTAGAATATTTGTTATATATTTTTAGGTTAAAACAGTTACTTAACTGTTACAAACTGTTATTTTTCCTGTTTATTATCATTCTATCTCCACCTGAAAATGGCCCTATTTCCTGTTCTCCTCAACAGACACCCTCTAGAACCTCAAAGTTAACACCAGCTAGTAGGAAGTGTATTAATATGTATACAACTTGTGTTAATCTTTAACTTTTACATACTTAAAACAGAGTTTCAGCTGAAAAAAAAAACAAAAACTGTAGCTGCTGACTTTTAAAATACAGACACTTACCTGTCCCTCGGTCCAGCGGTGTCCTCACCACCGCTGGTTTCACCGGCCGTCTTCTCTCCCTGGCATCTTTAGAGTAAGCACCCGGCTGTGACAGCTTGCGGCTTCACAGCCGGGTGCCCACTGCGCATGCGCGAGAAGCGCTGCACTTTGTGAATGGCCCCGTAGTATTCTGGGACCTGTCACATGTCTCAGAAGACTACGGGGAGGGAGAAGGAGGACAACTTCCACTTCCGATCACCTAGGCGATCGCAGAGGACGTGGGAGCGGGTACCTGTCAAATCCCCCCTTGCTTCCCAAAGGTGGCAATCCTTAATGGGGAGCAGGGGACAAAGCATTAAAGCGGAACTTCCCCTGGAAGTGGAACTCCACTTTAAAGAATAAGTGAACCCTCACCTTGTGAAACAACCTATTCAGTTTAAAATATAAATGGAAGGCAAAAAATTGGTGTATAGATATAAAAAAAAATATAAATACCTTTTTAACCTTTTAAAACCCTCTGTTTTCAGGTGCACAAGGAGCAACGGGAGGAGAAACAGGTCTTCCCAGTGAATGGCTGTGTAGGAAATGGGGGGGGGGTGTGTCAGCACAAGCCTGATCATTGGTTTAGCTCCCAGCACAGCCATATGGAGTCAGAAAAAAACAGCGCTCAAGGCCATAGTAAATAGTGGTGTTCAAATAGAAAATGCATCAGGAATGTACTATAGGAAAGACACACTATAATGGACCCATAGGTTTCCATAGAGTTTATTCCAATGCATTAAAAACAATATTGACATCAGAAATGTGCACTGTAAGCGGTATCAATTTACCAGACTCCGTGGCTATGATGGAACGTCTGCCGGCCCTAAATGGACTAATGAACTAAGATCCAACTGTCAGGGTGTGCGGGGGACCGTTCCCCTGGATGTGAAGATGGTCTGTCAGGAGCAGGTGCCACAGCACATCAGAACTGATGTTATGAAAGTCCTGGGAGGGAACCAGAAGTTAGCCACGAGATGCCAGGTTGAACCGCAAATGATCAGGTTGCCATGACAATGCGTTTCACGCGCATGCGCTTTATCAAGTCATCAAGTTTTTTCTAACTTTCTATGCTGTCACTACTCCAAGTCTTCACAATGGCTGCTGAGGATTTATAGCCATGTACAGTATTTGGGACAATGCGCTTGGAATCCTTTGTTAATATTATTCCAGCACAGCCAGAACACCTACCATGCTGTGCTTTCATGCTTAGTGTGGTCAGTTTTGAATAGGAAAGCAGAGAGAATGACAGGAACAGCAGGGATTTCACACAAAGGAAGCAATACAGAGAGAACAGGATACTTTTTCATACAAGTACATTATACTTGTATCAGGAATATGAAATGTTGGGTTTACATATTGTGTAAACAATCCATACTACCTACGCACATTCTTCAACAATCCACACTATAGCATACATATTGTAAAGTCAGTTGGTCCATGCAAAAGTGAGATTTAGTGCGAGAGGAAAAAAAAAAGAAGAAAATCAATTGTAAAATTTAAAAATGGGTATTTGGCGCACTCCAAGAAGGGATTAAAATGGCATATGCAGCAGCAAATAAAGATAAATATGGACATAAGTCGGAGAATGTGCATGTATATATATATATATATATATATATATATATATATATACACATGTGTGAAAAACCACAATATAAATGTAAAGTCCTTAAATGGAGAGTTCTGATGCATCGCTGGATAGGGGGCAGCCAGCCAATAATGAGATAGAGAGACCCTGTCAGAGATCAAGAAGGAAGATGGCACCGTCTAAGTGCAGTATAAAAACTCTTTAATATGGTAAAGTAGAGTAATACGCACCACTCACAAAAGGTAAGGTGAATTGCGCTTGTGATTGCGCAAGCGCAATTCACATCACCTTTTGTGAGTGGTCCGTATTACTCTCATTTACCATATTAAAGAGTTTTTATACTGCACTTAGAGGGCGCCATCTCTTCCTTCTCAATTGTAAAATTTAGCACATTATTATTATTATACAAGATTTATTTATACACTAATGTGAAAATAGCACAGGTATCATACTTTAGTGAATTGCCCCTAATGTCTCCTATGTTGGACTCAATCTAGCTGTAGAAAAGAGATTAGTCGCCAAATCACAGCTGGATTGGGAAGTGACCAGATTTCAGTGGCCTCTCTGCAATCTTTTCTGGCACCCCCTATCCGATCAATCTTGGAGTATGGACCAATCGTTTGAAATGCATTTTTCTGCAGTCACTATTGGACGGTACCGGGGATGTCTGCTCAGTGCATTAACATGCACACATGACTAATGCAGGCCCAGGGACGGACTGACCATTTGGAAACTCGGGCACTGCCCGAGGGCCCGGGGTCAGTAGGGGGCCCCATGAGATGCCCCTGGTACCTTTTTCATAGGCTTTTTTTGAGTTTGGGCAAAGACACAGGGGCCCCATGATCCCCTATTGCTTGGGGGTCCCATAAGTTGTCAGTCCGCTCCTGTGCAGGCCATAAATGGGTTGAATTCTGAACAAATTTCCTTTAGAAAATTGGAATTTCCATGCATTTTGTAATCCGAAGGTGCCACCATTGATTCTGAAATTTGACCAAGCCTTTAATTTCACTACATGTTGCTACAGAAAAGCATTTTCATAGCCAAGAATATTCCTTTCTTTCCAGGTCACAGCTCATCCTCATTTATTTTTCGATTAAATTTCTCGCACGATTCTCCCATCACTGATTAGAAATTCCTTTGTTTTTGAAAAAATTTCCAACATGCCCAATCACTCAAATTCGATGGTCGCTCGAAAATCGGTTGTTGCTGTGGCCCACTAAAGGTGCAAAATTCGAATGAAAATTCTTAGAACAGATTTTCGAAAGAAAATTCTTTCAGAATTCGACCCGTGTATGGCCGGCTTAAAGCAACTGTATGTATAATGGTAGAGGGTTGCATGAACTACAACAGTAGCAGGAAGAATCTGGGCCTGCTGGCACTGGTAGTTCTTCCACCGCTGCAGGTGGCTCATGTCTCTCTTTCATGAATAAACCTATAGGTCTGCAGCCATGAGCAGTGCTGTAGGTAAGTAAGGTGTACCTACCTCTGTGAGATGCAGGGAGTGTGGCGGATTGTAGCAATGAGGAGCCACTCTAGTATTTTCCTCCAGGCAGAGCTGGTGTCGGCATTCACACCCTCTCTCTTCCACTCACATCATTAAACTGTGGATGGTGTTAAAAAGCATTGGCTGGCGTCACTGTATCCTGAGAGAAGAGAGGGAGGGAGAGATAGACGGAGAGATGAGAGGGATATGGAAGTTGGAAAGAGATAATATACACAATAACAGGAAAGCCGCAACACACAGTAATCGTGTGAGCAAAATGTGTTTGATGTAAAAACTGATCAAAATGCAACAATGTGTGACAGCCTACAGCCACTAACTTTAACAGTTTAATGATTTCTGATTGGTTGGTGTGCTGTAAATGGCAGTTACCTGTGTGAAAAGCCTCAGGTTGAAGCTGCAAACCTCTTTTTTTTCCCAGAGAATATTTGTCCATGTGCTGTTATATTGAACTTGTTCAGCTTCACAGTGACAGTGAGCCCTGGTTCACACTGATGCAGTGCAGAATTTGCAGCGTTTTCAGTGCGAATTCCGCAGCGCATCAAAATCGCAGCCCGTTCATGCGAACCGCTACGGGTGTGTATGTTAAAAACCCCCTGAAAACGGTTCGCAAAACACGGTGCGATGTGCAGAATCGGATCGCATAGATGTGAATACCCATCCGATCCGATTCTAGTGTGGACCAAAAAAAGGGTCCTGCAAGTTTTTGGCGTGGATGCGGTGCGAATAGAGCCATGCAAAATGTATGGCTGCAATCCCACCGCTCACAAATCGCATTTGATTCACACAGGAATGCAGTGCAGTTCTTGTGCGAATCATATGCGATATACCGCACCTCATATATGTGAATCCAGGCTGACACCGGTAACTAAAAAGAAAAAAAAATATATGGCTGAGGAATCATAATAAATTTTTATTATTATTACACAGGATTTATATAGCGCCAACAGTTTGCTCAGCCAATACAGTAACGATACAGTTCAAAACAAGAGGGATTTGAGGGCCCTGCTCCTTGGAGCTTACAATCCGACAGGGCTGAGGAGAGAGTGACACTCTGGTGACCACAGGTGAGTGAGCCCTTACCGGAACTATTAGGCTCTCAATTTAAGGAGAAGACAAAAGCGCGTAAAGGGATCAATCCCACAACATATTCATGCTGTATGGCGGTACTCCACTCCTATGGCTCTACTGTACCTTCACTCTCCACCAGTAGCGGTGTATAGAATACATAAAAGCAAATAGCGCAGTACGTTCCAAAATAAATAACTTTATTAAGAAAGTATTGCACTTACAATAGGTAGATATCAAAACATCGCAAAGCTGTAGCAATCCCGATGCAAAACAAATTCCAGTCGACGACTGCTCAGCATGGTGACGTCACGTCAGGCTCCACCCGATGCGTTTCGTCATAGGATTGACGTCTGGACAATGCCCCTGGGAGCTGGAAATCATTGAAATAGACACCGCTACTCCTGGGATCTCTGGGTTGCATGCCAAGCAGCTGTTCTGCTGCATTCTGAACACACGAGTTTGGCAGCTCAGCATGGGAGCCACTCAGAGAATGCTTTACATTCTCTGAATGAATGCAAAGCATTTTCTGATTGGACAAGATGGAGATGCAGGGCACAGACATTACACTCTCCACCTCATTCAATCAAAGAATGCTTTGCCAGCTTCCAGGGGAATTGGTGCATGCATGGATCAATGTAACTATTTTAAAAATATCCGTACCTGGAATTCATCCATGAAGCTGCAGTTTAATCTGCCAATATCTTGCCTGTCTTGGTTTCTCCCTCACTGAACACACGATCCTTATCAGGGGCGGACTGACCATTTGGAAACTCAGGCACTGCCCGAGGGCCCGGGGTCAGTAGGGGGCCCCATGAGATGGCTTTTTTGAGTTTGGGCAAGGACACAGGGGCCCCATTATTCCCTATTGCCTGGGGGCCCCATGAGTTGTCAGTCTGCCCCTGATTGCAGCACTCTGCCTCTGTACTCCTCTTAGCACTTAGCTGGCTCTTGGGAAAATTTATGCAAATATCAGAATGCCTTGATGGGCAGGTGTCAGTCTAGAGAGGGGGGTCCTAGACAGGCTGTATTTGCATGCATACCACTGTAGGTAACACTCATGTATCTGCTGAGCCTCTGTGATTGAAAGAGCTGAAATGCAACGAATGAGAGAGGCAGACCAGGGACAGGCTGGGCAGGAAAGATGATGGATGATTCTCCACACACTCCAGCCAGGAAATGAGAAGGTCTCTAACTTGCTGCAGCTTCTTGCGCACACTGTGAGAAGGTCACAGTGTGCAAGAAAATTAGAGTAAGCGTTTTCAATATAAAAGAGAAGGCTGTGCAACTGTGCAATACTGAAGGGAAGGCTTCCCCCTGACGTAATACCATAACAGACGTGTCTCCTGCAGTTGTATTGACAGTTATTTGTTAATGCTACTATAAGGCGAAAAAAACTATGTCACTTCATAATCCAAAACCACTACAACATTAGTTCAGTCACTGGGAAACTTGCAACTTATTCACAAAATCTGATGCCCAGGGCTAAAACATCTGCTCATTAACCCTTCTTGCAATCCTAATCTTCCCTTAAATCTTCAGTATTAAACCCAAAACAATTTTTTTTTATATATTTCAGTTTACCAATCATTAGATGTGGTGGATGCATTAGTTTTCTCTGATATTGCCTTTTTGTCCTCTATTTTCACCTGTTGATCTGACCAGTAGCACACCTCCTGTATTAGGGAAATGATGGGTGTGGTAACAAATAGTGCCATCATCCCTTATAGAAACCACATATGGAAAATCCTCTTTTTTGATGGGATTTTTAAGGCACAAACAAAGCAAATGGAACTACTGGGTTCATATTAGTTTCATAAAACCATCCTTTATCAGAGAGTATTTTAACCACTTGCCCTGCAGAGGATTTACTCCCCTTCTTGACCAGACAATTTTTTTGCGATACGCTGCTGCGTTACTTTAACTAACAATTGCGCGGTCATGCAACGCTGCACCCAAATTAAATTTATGTTCTTTTTTCCCACAAATATAGCTTTCTTTCAGTGGATCGCCTGTGTGTTTTTTTATTTTGTGCTATAAACAATTTTGGAAAAAAAACCAGACATTTTTGACTTTTTGCTATAACACATATCCAAAAAAAATGTAAAAACTCAAATTTCGTCATAAATTTAGGCCAAAATGTATTCTGCGACATGTCTTTGCTAATAAAAATCCCAATACGTGTAAATTAACTAGTTTATGTGAAAGTTATAGCAGTTACAAATGGCGGTATATATACTGGGATTTTTATACTAGTAATGGCGGCGATCAGCTTTTTATAGCGGTACTGCGGCAGGCATTTTGACACGTAGGGGGGAGGGGAACTGGCTAACTGTCACTGACATCCCCAGTGAGACCAATACAGTGATCAGTGCTAATAAAAAGCACTGGCACTGTACTAATCACACTGGACAGGAAGGGGTTAGCATGTGGGGAGATCAAAGGATTAACTGTGTGTTGTGCTGTGTTTTACTAGAGAGGCATGCAGTTTTGTATTGCTCTGCAATGCAGAGGACAGGGGTCAATGCTGGCAGGGTAGAAGACAGGGGTCAATGCTAGCAGGGCAGAGGACAGGGGCACAGCTCCTTCTCCCATCCCTGCACTGCACACAGCCTGGGCACAGCTCCTTTTCCCATCCCTGCACTACACACAGCCTGGGCACAGCTCCTTTTCCCATCCCTGCACTGCACACAGCCTGGGCACAGCTCCTTTTCCCATCCCTGCACTACGCACAGCCCGGGCACAGCTCCTTCTCCCATCCCTGCACTGCACACAGCTCGGGCAAAGCTCCTTCTCCCATCCCTGCACTGCGCACAGCCCGGGCAACAGCTCCTTCTCCCATCCCTGCACTGCACACAGCCCGGGCACAGCTCCTTCTCCCATCCCTGCACTGCGCACAGCCCGGGCACAGCTCCTTATCCCATCCCTGCACTGCACACAGCCCGGGCACAGCTCCTTCTCCCATCCCTGCACTGCGCACAGCCCGGGCACAGCTCCTTCTCCCATCCCTGCACTGCACACAGCCCGGGCACAGCTCCTTCTACCATCACTGCACTGCACACAGCCTGGGGCTCCTCCTCCCATCCCTGCACTGCACACAGCCCGGGCACAGCTCCTTCTCCCCCTGCAC